ACCCTTAATTGGCGTTTTCTGTCTGGCGTGTGTCGTTTTGCGTTTTGCATGCGCACACGCGCGCGAACTCTCGTCGCTCCTCTCTAGGTATATATGCCCCGTGTTTGCCCAAGAGAGCATTCTACCCATTGTTTTCTTCTTCAAGCCAGTTCACACACTTGCGGACTCGCCTTGAAAACTGTCTGTTTCTGCCCGCTGCGCCCCAGGCCATCCAGTGATCCCCGTCTTCAGCAGGCATAGGCTGTCTTTGTTTCTCTGCCACATCATCAAGTCAAGCTCCCGGCCGACCCTCAAAAGTCGTCAGGTCGCGGCCAAACCAATTGCCCATTCGACTGGCTTGAGAGTCATTGCTTTCAAAAGTCATACGGTCTGGTACGGTGCCCGTCCCATAGATCGAACAACCCACGGCCCTATTACTGTTTCTCGGGGCCTTGTATCTTCCTTGGGATTCTCTGTTGAGGCCCCATTGCTTTACACCTCGCACTCTACTCTACTCTACCCTACTCTACTCATTTACCCACGTCGACAATCGCATGTCGATTTGCAACAACTGAATTACACTGCACTCTTACAGTCATACGGTTGCCCCCCATTGAGTGTACCCCTGGCCCCGCCTGTTGAGTGCCTAGACACTCCTATCACCCCATACCCATATCAGCATTGACAAACAATTGCACCTACGTGCACTTACACAGTCGAATCACTCCGGGCTCAGCGTTCTCATAAGAACTGCCCTTCCCACTCTCTCCACCACCATTCTTCTCTTTTTAAAGAAGAAATCATCTCGGACACTCTTCAATCCGTCTCGGGGGTAAACACAATTCGTCACTAAACGCCGAAGCAAACTCCGCTGCCTTGGGTCGACAGGACAGTCACAGTCCTGCACATCTTACTCAAGCACCAAGGGACTAGGAGGGTCTCGTCGAGATCTCACACATCACACCCCCCCTCCTTATAACTCCGCCCCCCTCGCCCCCCCTCCAGTTTCGCCGCCCTGTTGCTGCCTACTCTGGTCTAGGCGCCCATCCAGTCACTGACAGCGCACTTACATACACTTTTGGGTTGGGCATACGCAAACAAAGTCGACGAGACTCATTCGGGCTTATTCAGGCCTTTCGTCTGAGCCTATTAATTGAGAGCCCCTCGCTCTTTTAGATTGTTCTAAAAGGTCTCAACGGTTTCGCCACACTCCCTATTGTCCACGTCACAGCCATTGTGACGACTGACTGACTGATTGCGTCTCGTGGCTGACAAACCACTTTCGCTTTATCTGCGCTATGCAACCTTCTACCACTTTCGACGACAATACAATCTCGTCAGTCAAATTGCAGACTGAACGAACCTCGTCTCTTCTCCCCTCTATTCAATCTCTTTCCCTTCATCACTCACCATCCGGCCCCTCAAACAGCACAAACAACACCACAACAATGGCGGCCAATTCTCCTCGCTCTGCGCAAGCGACCAGCGCAATGCCTCCTCCAGCTCATCCTGCCTCAATTCCTTCCAGGATGCATATCAACATTCTGATGTCGCCTCCAGACCAAACCCACGATAGCTTCTATTATCACACCGGAAAGGCCGACTCCTCCTTCTCCTCCAGCAAGGACGCTTCAGGACAGACTCCAATGTCTCCTCCAATCTCGCCTTGCAACAGACCGATGGCCACCACCGAGACACCAACAAACTCAACGGGCCGTGATATCGTTCTCTACCCAGATGATGCGTCTTCCAGTCCAGCCCAGATTCCCCTATTCCCAACCGCTGGGGACCGTGACCACAGTCGAACGATTGAGGAACACATACAAAAGAATATCAACGACAAGATTTTTGTTGAGGTGCAACCCCCGACACGCAATGACTATGAGCTTGTGGTTTCGTTTCAGTCGCAACTCAACAAAGCTTACGCACAAAACCCAAAGGCATGGATGTTGTCAGTGACTAAGCAGGCTCGCGACGACAATCATCGCATAGCTCTAGCCAAAGCACGCGCTCGTCCCTTGGCGGCCAAAGCCCCCAAGATATCCCGGCCTCGCACCGATAATAATCGTGTTCTGAAACCTCCCGGGCGAACTATTCGCGTTCAACCCACGAACAGCCCAAGACGACCAACTCCTCAGCTCAGTGTCAATGACATCGCTGAGCCTAAACCTCGGGCTCAAGGCCCAGACAAAGATTTTGCATCACTGCCGGACTTGTGTCCACCCCCGAGCGTGGCCCCCGACAAAGCGAACTGGTTCAAAGTTGATTGGAAGGGGCAGCCACTCGACAACAGCAAGGATCCTAATCGACATCTTCTTTCTTCTGACGAAATAGCGCTTGCAAGCAATCTCCGCCTTGACTGTGCGACGTACCTAGCCAGCAAGAGACGCATTTTCATAGGCAGGCTCTCCAATTATAGGCGAGGGAAAGGCTTCCGCAAGACCGACGCCCAACAGGCTTGCAAGATTGATGTCAATAAGGCCTCCAAGCTGTGGATGGCCTTTGACAATGCCAAATGGTTTAGGGAGGAACTCCTGGAGCCATTTAAGGACGTCATTCTTAACTAGTGGCCTTCACAATGTTGGACGGTTTCGAGCCTCGTTGGCCACGGCGTAGCTTGTCCTTCATTTACCGCCTGTCTTCTGAGCAATGATGCTTGTCACCGGAGTTTCACTTCACTTCACTTCATTTCATTTTTCTCTGCTGAACCCAAACGATTGGGTCAATATATGAGAATCAAGCGGAATCACGGCACATTTCCTTTTTCCTTTAGGCGATACACCATAGCATTAGGGACTCTCATCTTCACGATACCCGGAGTGCATATATACCTGACCCTGACCCCTTTGCGATCATGTCACACCACTCCACAGTTTTCTTTTATTTCATTTTCTGTCATGGGATTCTGCCTTGTCTTGTCCACCTCGCCCCTCAGAAGTCATGTCATCTTCGAGGTTGTCAAGGGCGAGAGATTAAGGACAGCGAGGTATAGCATGGATGGATGTTTGGCGTTATCATGTATGGCCCCTCCCAGCAGACTCCGCTGGGGTTTAGGGGACTATTTTATTTGGACTACTAGGATGCAAAGGTTGTGCGTACATGTGATGGCTAGTCATAGTTGTGGACTTGAACATCACTGGATGATTTCAGGTCAACGAGTATCGACTGTATGCAGGCGCGCGCCCAGGCAGAGGCACAACCTTCTGACCTTGAGCAGAGATTGGATCATGGTTGCCCTTTGGAAGGGACTAGCTAGACAATAGCGAAATGAATTGTTTACCCAAGCACTTGTTGTATTGCCATGTCTGTGAGCGTGATGGATGTGATTGCCGACCCGATTGATGGAACGGCAAGAAAACGCCTGCTTGACATGTGTCGCAAGATCAAATGCACGTAGGGGCCCTTGAAAGAAAATCCATTGACTTCAGCCCTACACTACACTACGATTTGGGGGCCGGTTCGCTTCCTCTAGAGGTTAAGCGTGAGCCATATTTCTGGGTAAGTACGGGACATAACCTAAGCATGTTCTGACTGATGTGCGCGGGTGAAGCCGCCGTTGCAGCGGGACCAAGCCATTGGCAAAAGAGGTACATTCCCAGCGACGTCTCACCAAAAGAGTACTTTAGCTAGGAGAGGGGAGTGTGGACGGGACAAGGCCAGGCAGGCCAGGGATATGGGTGAGTGGTGGAGTTGGACAGCGGGAGCTTATCGGGTGGAGCAAGGTGAGAGAGGAAAAAGAAAAGTTACGATGTGGCGCTGTGGCTTGAAGATGCACGTTCAGCGTGTAAGAGGAACATATCGTTCAGGGTTTGTGATGATTACTTGTGGGAGATTGGTAAGATGGAGGTTTCTTTAAAAGACACGTTGTGTTGCGGGAATGGCGTGAACGTGTGCGTGTCTTTTTAGAGGCCCCAAAACAAATGATGAAGTTTATAATGAAGTAGTCTGTTTGCCAAGTCCCTCTCACGTTTTGGGTAGAGGATCACATTGGTGGTACAATTGAAGCAAGGTGTCTTCCGAAAAGCCTACATGACGATACTATCCAGAATAACTTCTGCTGTGAATGATGTGATGAAGAGGGAGAGGCCAATGAGGATATAGTGACTCGGCACTGGGAGTGGCTCGTGAATGGGTAATACGTGTCCGTAGATATCAAGCTCCAAGATTTGGCTCAACAGAAAGTGAGGCTGTAGATGATTCTTGGTCTTTATTGCTTAACCTTGTCAATGTTTTGTGGTAGCTAATGAGTCCTGATGAACTTGGTCCATACCGTTATCAAGGCCACCAGGGTTCTCGGAGCCGCCACCATGCTCTGTATGGTACCTATGTTAGACCAGTCGAAGCCCATTGTCACGATATGGTTGACAATCTAAATCTTTATAAGCCTAATTTGCAAACTCGGTTTTCAACCAATTAGCAGCCTTATCATCCGGTATGGTGTAGTGGCTAACATTTCGCGCTCTCATAACCTGAGAGATCAAGTACCGCGGAGCCCAGGGTTCGATTCCCTGTACCGGAGTTTCTCTTTTGCATTTTTGACATCTGAGTATGTAAGGTGTCTGTGGTGATGTCTACTTTTTGTTGGTGGTGATGCTTTGTTTGGGTAGATGGGCCGTGTCCGTTGAAGTCTGTCTGAAAGGGATCATCATTTAGTTAATCTTTAGCAATTGTCTCTTAGGTACATAAAAGCGGTGTTGCGCAATGACTCCTGATGGTTGATTGACATCATCACTCGCTGTCAATTTCATTCTCAGCGAATTGTTTTGGAGTCAATGATCTCAACCTAAGGTCTTATCGGTGCTGAAGAAAGCCTGTCTCATGCCAGAGAGAGGGGCATGTTCATACGACGAAGGACATTCACTTCCAGGTGCTATACCAGTAGTAACTGGGAAACAAATCTAGACGACAGTGTAAGCCATACGATCATCACTGGAACGAACTGAAGTCGTGCTTGTCAATCATCACGGTTGATTCATTATGTCATGTCCCTCTATAGTACAGCTTTTGTCCCTCCATCAAATTTACTGACCAGCGGCAATAGTGTAGCCACCATCAACAGCAACAGTCTGTCCCACCAAGTATTGGTTCGTAGCAAAGAACAGCACTGTAGCAGCCATATCCTGATCCTTGCCAGCCCGTCCAGCGGGAACCTTCTCAGCATACTTCTCCTTGGGGATGAAGCTCTTCTGCGCCTCATCACTTCCATCGGTGGTCATCTCGGAGGGGAAGACACCAGGCGCAATACCGTTGACGCGGATCTTGAGCTTGTTGCTCACGATCTCGGCGGCGAGCATGCGTGTGAGATGCACGGCTGCGCCCTTGGAGGCGTTGTAGGCAAAGTGATGCTGAGACTTCTGGATAAGACCGCTGATGGAGCTGATGTTGATGACAGTTGAACTCCAGCCCTGATGCTTCTCACTGCTCTTCTGCAAAAGCGGCAAGAAAGCAGCAGTGGTGAAGTACATGCCCGTAACGTTGGTGTTGTACGTCGAGTTCCAGTCCTCGAATGTAGCATCCTTGTTGTCGAAGAGGTTCTCCTTCATCTCCTGCGCAGAATCGGCCTCGACCTGGAAAGAGTTGCTTGAGATACCAGCGTTGTTGACGAGAATGCAGAGGCAGTTCTCCCGGGAGGAGTACTCCTCGTAGAGCTTCTGAATACCCTCCTTGTTGCCGATGTCGGCTTGGATGGGGATGATCTCGCCGGCGATGTTCTTGCCGTACTTCTCGACGACGGTGTCGAGCTTCTCCTTTGTGCGGCCGGTGATGTAGACCTTTGCGCCGTTGACAGCGAGGGCTTGAGTGGCCATGAGGCCGATGCCAGAGCCACCACCTGCATCTGTTAGCCACACTGCTCACTGATGATGTCGTTAAGAGGGACGTACCTGTTACGAGAGCGACCTTGCCCGAGAGATCAAACAAAGCATCGCGGGAAAAGTCTCGGTGCTCGCCACCACTTGCTGGTTGTGTTCCCGACATTGTAGTTGTAGTGTACTGAAAGTTCTTTCTGTTGCTTGACTGAAAGGTTCGTAGTTGATATGAAGTTGTGATGCAAGAGTTCTTAACAAAAGGAGTCGTGAGTCGAAGTGAAGGTGCGAGAAAGCTTCTGGAGCCAAGTCTAAGAAACTGCCTGGACATGATTCTTATAACAAACAGTTCTTCAATGAAAAGAGGGGTAGCTAAGGTACAAAATAAAAAGTAGAAACTGCAACTCGCAAGAACTGGCACTTCAACCAATGCGCATCTTAACTTATGGCCCTCTCTTGTCTCATACACCCAATGACGAGCTCATGATGAGATCAGCACTTTCTCTTCTGCTCGGTCCATGACGAAAGAGAGCGGAGGAAGTGATCCGTGAATTGAGAGAGAAGGAAAGAAAGGGAATGACAAGCGAAACAACAATTGAAGTCTTTTGCAGCGTGAGGCTCTATCATGACGTCGACGTGGGGTCAAGATGATGGTTCGATCGGTCCTCATCGCGATCTTCATAAGCTTACAAAGAAAAGGCTGAAGCGAAAACGTTGATCGGCCAAGCCACATATTACCGTATCTAGAAACCAACGGGTGAATTGACCTCTCAGGTTAGGAAATGGCTTCATAGCGTGTCATGACTTCTAAGTAGAGGCGTGAGCTAGGTAAGCAGAAGCGTGAGGCTTAACATCTACCCCACTGTAGCTTCAACGACATCAACACCATCACGACCCTTTTTAGAGGCATTGACAATTTCAACAACACTCGATTGTTTCCTTCACAGTAATCCTACACTTGTACCAGATATCGTCTCATTACAGACCTCAGCGGCGTTACCCAAACCAAACGCCATTCCATGCATTCCAAGTCTCCTTCATCCTCGCGAGCATCATCTATTTAACCTCGATATGCTGCACTGCCTTCTGCCACTTTTGCTCGTCCGTCCTGTTACACTAGATTAGTCTGTGCCCATCAAGGTCGTACGTAGTAAACACTTACTTGTCAAAGCGCAATAGCTTGCCCAGCACCGGCACAAGCTGAGCTCTTAGCTTGGTGTCCTTCTGCTCCAGGAACTGCAGTAGAATTGTCTTGAGATAGACCGTATCTGGAGTTCCGCCAGCGGCCGGCGAACCATTGCTCCCGCTTCGCACCGAATCGAACGAGCTGCGGCTTGAGTTGGCCACAAGCTTGGTCTGCACCGACTTGAGATCCTTGGATACCTTCTCGTATCGTTGCCTTGCCTCCTCCAACATTCGTCGTAACTCGGCTCGCTGCTTCTCAACATCACGGACTTGCTTCTCTGATGCATCGAGAGCTGTTCGCAGCTGTGATGCTGTTGTTCGGAGTTCGTCCGCCTCAGCCTCGGCCTTCTCTTCCACCGACTCAAGCTCTTCTCGTCGTCGACGCCACTCCTTCTCACGCTGCTCAAGCTCATCCCGTTCATGTGTCAAAGTCTTGACCTCACGCTCCAGATCCTTCAACTTCAGCTTCAGGTCTTCCGTCTCTCGTGTCTTGCGTCGCGCAAGGGTACTCGACTCATCTTCAATTCGATCTCGCTCCTCAACAGCTGCCTCCATTCGCGCTCTCATCTCTCGAACCTTGTTATCGGCACGCTCATCGACATCAGCCAACAATCGTCGCATCGTCTCGCCCTCGCGCGTACGCTCCTGAAGTAGTCGCTGAACCTCAGCAAGCTCCTCCTCCAGTGACTCAGCCTGCGACTTGGACTCCTTCAGCTGCACAGACATCTCCGCCGTCTGGTCTCGCATACTACTCAACAGACCCTGGGCATTGCTATACTGCTGCGTCTTGAACTCGGCCTCCTCTTGCGCTGCTGTCTTCTCCCGCTTCAATTTGTGCATCTGCTCTTCAAGCTCCCTCACCTTGGGTCGCAGCTTGCCGAGCTCCTCCTGTACTGTCTTGAGCTCTGCCTCCGTCTTCTCAGCCTTTGCACTAATCTCAACCTTCTCAGCTTCAGATCGGCGAAGGTCTCGTCCAGATACCCGTTGGGCATCCTCGAGCCGAAGTTTGGCGTTTGTCTCGGTGGCCAATTTCTCCTGAAGACCCTTAATCTCAGTCTCGCGATCCGAGGCTAACTTCTGGACGCGCTCCACATCTCGCTTGAGATCCTTCTCGCGCTTCTCCATATCCTTGAGCTCCTTGGTCTTGGTTGCGAGCTCCTCCTTCGTAGTCTTTAGCGTAGCAGACTCCTGGCGCAGGCTCTTCAACTCAGGCTGCGCCTTTTGTAGCACCTCACGTAGGTCTGTAAGATCCTTGAATCGGTTTTGGGCTAGTTGCTGGGCAGCGCCCAGGTCGGCTTGCAGGGTGGTCGTCTGTTCCTTGAGCTCGTCGTATTCTGTCTTCAAGGACTTCATCTCGCTTTGCAGCTTGGTGCTGACTTCGGCATCTGAAGCAGATGAGTCAATCTTCTTCTCAAGATCAGCAATCTGTGTCTTGAGTTCCAACTTCTCCGCCTCGAGCTCCTTAATCTTCTCCTTGGCCTCAACATGATCCTGACCAATTGTGAGCAGGTTCTCTTGGAGTGACTCAATCTCCTCGCGCAGGTCCTCCTCAGTCTTGCGCCTCTTGCTCAAACGTTCAATCTGCGTATCCTTCTCAGCAACCTCCTCCTTCAGCTTGGCGATCTCAGCCTCAAGCTCAGCATTTCCCTCGGGTTCAGCGGGAGTTGCTGGCTCAGGAGTCTCCACGGCGGCCTCTACAGCTGGAGCTGCAGCACCACCGGCGCCACCCTTGCCCTTCTTCTTTTTGTTCTTCTTCTTATTTCCACCGCCCGCAGCCGCAGCAGGTTGTGAGACCGTAGGCGCTGAAGTTGCAGCGGGTGTGGGTGCAATGGGAGCAGGCTTTGACTCTAGTTTCTTGGTCAGATCGTCAATCTTGGTCTGGCTCTCGGTCTTCTCCTTCTTCAGGAGCTCGATTTGACTGTTGAGGTCATCGATCAGCTTCTTGGAGATGTTCTTTGCGTTCGAAGCCTTGGCCAACTCAGCATCCAATTCGCTTGCGCGTTTGTCTGATGAAGCAAGCGAAACCTCCAACTCATCAACTTTGGCTGTGTGCGTGCTCTTGTCTTCTTCCAGCTGCTTGAGTTGCTTTTGCGCCTCTTCCAATCGTTGGTTCAGAGACTCAATCTCCTTGTTGCGCTCATCAAGCTGGGTCTGTAGGGACTCCTTGGCGGCGGCGGCATCGCGAGACTCGCTGAGCTCCCGAGTCGCATTCTCCAGGTTCTCGACCAGACCAGCGCTGTTCTCCTTGACGGTGGTGAGTTCCTTCTGGAGACTCTCGACCTCGGACTTGAGCTTATCAATTTCCTCAGACTTTGACGTGAGGTCAGCTTGAAGGTGGGGAATTTCATCATCGTAAGAGAAGAACTCCTCGCTTTTGTCCTTGGGTTCAGTAATGGATTCAGTAACCTCAGATAGAGACTTTTGCGGCTTATGTTTGGGCGAGAACATCCCGATGACAGAGGAAACAGGAGACTTGGACTTTTCGGGGACCTCAGGGGGAGTATCTTCGTGCTTATCGTCCTTGGTAGCTTCGGATTCCTCCGTCTTTGGCTGGCTAGAGTCTCCTGACTTGAGTGCCGCAAGCTCCTCCTCCAATTTCTTGGCCTTTTCCTCGGTTTCGTTGTGCTTTTTCTGCAACTCTTCCTTATCTGTCGAAACCTTCTTCAGCTCCTGCATCACCATGTCGCTTCGGAGGTTCAGTTGGTTGAGATACTCGACAAGTGCTTCGGGATCGCTGATGGAAGTCAAAGGGGTGTTTTCTCGGAGGGCCTTCTCGAATGGTTCGATCGCTGTCGCTCGCCTATGGGCAACACGATAAGATCGAAGTAATTCTTTGAACATGTATCAGTTTTCTGCCCCTGGCGTGCGCATTCGTATATATCAACTTACCGGGATACGTCGTCTCGAGCTTCTCCAGTTTGCGCAGCTTCTGGCGGATCTCAGGGCTCAACTCTTGAGACTTGGTCGCCTCTGGCTTGGCCGCTGAAGTGCCGTCTCCACCATCCTGATTCTTGCCCGAATTGGCCTCGTCCTTGGAACCATCTGCATTCTTTTCATCCGATCCGTTGCTCTGAGTGTCACCATTGTCGGTCTTGGAATCGTCGTTTGCAGCAGGAGGCATTGGGGTAGTAGCTCGGCTCGGCTCACTCTCGTCGTCGATCACAAAAGCAGCCTCGAATACGGCAGGATCTGGGTTCGGTGCGTCGCCAGCATCGGCAGCCTGTTTCCTAGCCTTTGCGCGCTGAGCTGGTGTGCCATCGCCCTTTCGCGACGATGTTGAGCGGGTTCTCGAGGGGGACCTGGATTGCGCAGCTGTTTGAGAGCGGGCTTGTTCTTCGGCGATTGTCCGATCGATGGCGCTTTTGAACCTCTGAAACATGTCAGTCGCTGCATATATGAGGTGCAAACAGATAATTATCACGAAGAACTAACTTGGAACATGATGGCTCCCTTGGGTCAAAGACCAGCGTCTTAAAGATACCAAGGGACGCGCGTAATTTAAATATTAAGTACGAATCTTTGAGGCAGGAAAATACAAAGAGACAAAAGAAAGTCTAGAGGATCGATGTAAAGGGAATAGTAGGCGGCTCAACAAAACGCCTTCATGACAATGCGAAAGTTGGAGTTGTTAAGCTGATGAAAGGAGTTGCAGGGTCTCAGTGGACAGAGTTACAGCACTTGCTTCCGAGCCATGACCGATCCTGTCAAAGTTCTGGGGTAGGATTGTGGCGTCTAATGACTGTGGCTCAGCCGGTCAGGGGCCGCATTCCACGTTTGCATGTCAGCAATAGTTTGCTTGATCTTTTGGATTTGATGTCCTTGACATTTTTGGGAGCTTTGAACTATACATGGAGAACATAAGGCATTCGAATGACAGTTCAGTTTATTGCAGGTGGCTGGCCCATTGTTGCAGGTCGAGAGCTACACTCGCCTGTAACGTCGCCTGTGACCTGTAACTTGTAATATCTTGGTGCTTAAGCTCTACAG